ATTTGTTTTTAATTTTTTTACTACTTAACCCCCCCTCCCCCCCGCTTGTCCGCTATTTTTTGGAAGCAGACCTGGCAATCCTAGCTGGTTCGTTCATTCATTCCCTCATTCACTAATAGTTTACACACAAGCATCCATGCTGCATTCCAGCTGCCTGGCAAATTGAGCCATGCTGACATTTCCAGGAATGTGCCAATGTTCAGAGGCAGCCTCTGTCCCTTAGCTTACGAAAATGAATGTTAAGACAGTGTGTGTGGTGGGAAGGTTAGGAGTAACGAAGATAAAAGATGAGGAAACAGAAAGTAACATCTAGAAATTTACAACTATTCCAGGCAGGCAAGAAATCAACTACCAGGATCATAAACTCCAGTAAAAAGCATATCCTGGTTTTATTCCTGCATGGAACTTGGCTTGGGAGCTCAGTTGAAATGGTCAAAAACAACACTGCTTAAAAGCAGAGCTTGGAGCTTGGCCTGAATCTCTGCAGCAACCAGAGAAAAGGAGCAACCACACTGAAGCAGCCCATCACTTCAGCCAGTGCAAGAACTTTTCAAGAGAGACAAAAGGGTGCATGCAACCTATTATTAGGGAAGGTGTGTGACACAATAAAGCATTGTTTGCAGTTATATGCTATGCTGTGATGTATCAAGGTCTTGGAAAACAAAAAATCCCTCGTGATTTTACAATGTGATTTTATAGCTCATCCTTTACCATGAGATGACTTTATTTCCAGAAAAGCATTTCTGCCCTGCTGTACTGGCATATGAATATTTATTTTAAATCAAGTTTATCTAGTCTTCATTGTTTAAAAAAACCCATCATTAGTATTATGGTCTTGCAGATTTCATTTATTTCATCTGAGCACAAGGACAAATTAAGGAGTTAAAAATTATTGCTGAATCCATACCCATCACACATTTCTTGAAAGACCACAGAAAAAGACTAAACCAAAGGGTTTCTATTTGACAAAAATTACACACAATCCCAACTTGTAATTATCTTATGATTATTCTAATGTTACCTTCTCCATCCAAATAAATCATACTTACAAAAAAATTCTTAAATGCTATAGCTTTTGTTTCTTTAGGCATCTATCTCCAGTCAATGAAAAAAATATATATTTAACAATATACGGTAAGTATTTTCCCCATGAACCTCCCAATTTTTTTAAAAAAAAACTTTTTACTATAAATATGCTTTGTAATCTTTTTATTTTTGTGATAATGCAGGAACCAGAACCTGTAAAGTGAGTGAAATGTTTTGTGATTCAGAAACCAGCAATTTCCAACCCAAAGATAAACACTTGGGAAATCATGTTCTGCATAAATAGTAAGAAAAGACAATTATTTTGAACTGTAGTGAGTTTAGGACTTATATCTCTAAGACATAAATTACAAGGGGTTGTTCAAGGCTGTAAGATATTGTATAAATGTGGGACTGCTGCTAAGGAAACCAAAAAGTCATAATGACTCTATCAGTTCCTTACAGAAGAGGTCATAATTATCTGCCTACTTTCATCTCTTTTGTAGTAGGTTGTATTTTGTAGTAGGTTGATTATTACTTTTGATTATTTGTTTCTAATGACATGCCAACTCTTCTATTTAATGCAGTCTTCCTAGCCCTTTTTATCTCATCTAATTTTTTTTATCCCGCTATTATTTAATATACCTAGAAATATGTTGGCTTCAGGAGTGAAATTCACTTACCTTCCCTACTGGTTTGCAAATGTGCATGTGCCATCATCCACACATGCACAAAGCCTGAAATCATCACAAAAAAGGGACGTTACGACATCCGCACGGGTGGGTGGAGCCTCCCACAGCTGCCGCTACCAGTTCGCCTGAGACAGATAGAACTGGCTGAATTTCACCCCTGGTTGGCTTCCAAAAGACAGCTGAATAATAAATATTCATCTACATACAGCTTTCTATCTTTTCCCCATTTCAGAAACCAACTTCTCAAACTTATCAACTGCAGGTAGTCCTCAACCTACAACCATAATTGAGACCAGAATTTCCATTACTAAACAAGCTGGTTATAAGTAGGTCATGTCCAATTTTATTACCTTTTTTGCCATGGTGGTTATAAGTAAATTAAGGTCATAAGTAACTTTTTTTCAGTTTTATGATAAGTTCAAATGAATAGCAATAGCAATACACTTGGATTTATATACCGCTTCACAGTGCTTTATAGCACTCTCTTTATGGGAGTTCTACAGGTAATAAGGAAGGAAAAGAAAAAGAATTCAAAATTTTGCTAAGAAATGTTAAGTGTAAGGATTCAGATAGATTTTAAGCAAAAAAAAAAAAAGCCTTACTTCAATGGAAAGACTTAAAAGAATTGTAAGGAAAAATATACTTCAAATATACAGCTGCTGAACAAAATGGAAGTTAAAGCTTACAGTCTTTTAACATATCAAAAAATCATAATCATTTAACACTGAAAGACTGAAAGGATATCATTTTTATTTAATAGAACAGGAGTTCTTTCTATAGTGATTATGATAAAGAACATACAGTGTTACTATATATTTTAAATAATTTGCATGTACACTCAAGGGAATCATTTTATTAAAATCTTTTGCTTTGAATACTTTGGATTATGTTCTTCCATCTTTGTCCCAGTCATATTCCCATGTTACTTTTATACAGTAATTGCTGTGATCTCCCACGTCAATTAAGGTTTTAGAGATTTGAGTTAGCATTTTAAATTGGTTCTGGAAACTGGCTCAGAAAGCTCTTTTTGCGCAACTATAATTAAGATTATAATTATAAGTGTGATCAATTTCTCCGTTTGTAACAACTTTCCCCATTTCTTTTTCCTCAGCATTAACATTTTCCAGTTTACCTAGCTGTTGCTGAACTTCATTAACACTGTGTATCACTGTTCTTATACAGTGATAAACATGTGCATGCTTCTATATGTGTGATCCTCTCTTTAGATTATCTTGCTTTATATTATTTACTTGTATGCTCTGAATTTGCAGTACATCTGCAACCAGAATTCATAAATCTAAGAACAGAATTATCAAATAACTGCCTCTTAATACATTGAATACACATTATGTATGTCTCCTGAGACGTCAAATCATCTTTCTTTTTCCCCCCCACTATGATCAAGCCTACCAGTTGTGACCCTGAATTTTACATAGGTCAGTAAGTGACAGAGGCTCTATTGAATTCATAGGTGAACAGTGAACTGTTCTGTCTATAGATGATAAACTGTTCACAATAATGGGAAAAAAGTAACCGTGAAGATCTCCAGAAGGACCTCATTAATATCGGTGAATGTCAGGTGGCATATTATACAGTTCAATTTAAATAAATACAAAGTGAAGTGCAGTGCCGCAAAAAATGTCAGCATGCTATAATGGAGATGAGCTATCTGTAACTAATCAGGAAAAATATAGTCATTGTACATAGCTCATTGAAGATGTTGGCTTAGTATATGAGAAAAAAGCAAATTATATGCTTCAAGAAAATGTGGTTTTTAGAAGAACATTATAAGCCCAGCTGGTTGTGGACTATATTTTCTATTCAATAAAGACATTTACTATATAAGATGGTTGACAAAGTTCCTTTTAAATAACAGAATAATCAGGCATATAATTGTTGTAATGTGTCATTATGAATCAGAAGGAACCAAGAAGTGTTTTTGATGTATTAATATTTGTAGCTTCCCTGTAAATCAATTAGGCATTAAGCAATCCATGGACATGAAATATGTTGAAATAAATTGTTCTGATGGTTTTCCTCTGTGAACATTTAAACCTCTGTGAACATTCAATAGGGCCTTCTAATGTATAACATTAGAGAAATGTCAGCACTTCAAGGCACCTCAAAACAAGAAACTAAATGGTACTATTCTGAATGGTAATACTACTTATATTATAAGATTACAGTACTAGAATCTTACAAATCTTAATATACTTCCCCCTTCCTTCATTTTGTCTTTGTGAGAACTAGGGAGGGTTCTGTCTGAGACTTGCATTTCTTTTATCTGACCAGTATTTTGTTTGGGGATCTCCTTCTGTTTCTTGAGGTTATTTTTTTCTGCACATTACAGGATATCTCTTGTAAGTTAAACTACCGGTATAACAAGCCAAGTTTCATTCCTCAGCTTCTTAATCTTTAACTACTTGGGCTATGACAGGCATAATTAACCCCCGTCCTGGCAGAAATACTAAGCCCAGGCATGACCAAAAATAAAAAATAAAAAAAATCCATAAAGCTTTACTTAAAGATAGCATTGACCATCAGGGATTTTGACTGTGCCCAGAAGGAGCCATTCTGCCTAGATCAGATGTCCCAAGGGATGTAACAAAATAAAAGTCTGAGCACCAGCACTTGGAGCAGCCATAGCAAACTAGCAAAGGGATGTATATGAACTTTTGATCTCAGGAGCACCTCATACTTTCCTTCTGGGAATAATATTGTGTCGTTTGTTTAACCCATGTAATGTCCTTTATTTCTATATTTAGATATGAGCTTTAAGGCTTTTTGCCTCTTAGACACTGCTTTGTAAAACATATGCTAGGAATTCCTAGAAAAATGATTGAAAATGATAAAGATGTAAAAAATTGTACATGGCATGGAAAAATTTGGCCGAAATACGATTTTCTCCTTGTTTTAAGCTACAAGACCCGGGGTTCTTTTAGGTCACAGGAGGAGGAGTTATTCAATGAAACTGATCAAAAGGAGATTTAGAACAGACAAACAAACAAAATATCTTTACATGGCTCCACATTTGATTTGATTCTCCATGCTGGACCAAGAAATAGTATGGAATGTCACAGCAAAATGCTTGCAGCTTCCATGGCCTGGAGATCAGTCTCTACCCCTTTTTCTCTTGGCTTGTTAATGAGCTTGACAGAAGCTGTTGAAAAATCTGAAAGCTTATATAGTTTGTGTCTGCATAATTAAAAATATTAATGTAACATGATTCTAGAAGATTTGTAAAGTAAATATTCTAAAATTACTCCATTTAGATATCCACTGAACTGACATCAAAATTTAAAATTTTATTGAATGAAGGAATCAGCATGGAAAACAGATTTAAAATATCTCCACATTTTAACTGTTAGGAACATAAAATAACCCAGTATCATAGTTTCCATCTACCCTATTTCCCCCCAAATAAGACATCCCCTGATAATAAGCCCAATCAGGCTTTTGAGCACATGGCAATAAGGCCAAGCACTTATTTCAGAGTTGAAAAAAATATAAGACAGGGTCTTATTTTCAGGGGAACATGGTAGGAGCTCTATGAAAGATTTAAATGTGTACATCATAGATAACCCAAAGAGCTCTGTTGTGTTTTATGAATAATTCTTACTCTAAAGAAATTTTTGAAAAATGTTAAAGTCATTGCCTTGCAATAGAGTCCCAAGATCCATTTTCTCAAGCCATAATAATTCTTAAACTTGTGTCCTTCTAGTACAGTTCCTATGAGGTAATTATGGGGAGACCTTAGTATATTGATTGGCCCCTGTAATTCAGGTGATAGTCCATGACCAAAGTTGCCATATCGTATTTGGTTTGTTTGCTGATTTGACAGCATGGTATTGGAGAGAAAAGTATAAAACAAGTTTGCATGTATGAACAAAGAACCATATTTCCATTCTTAAACCTGATTCTGGTAGGTATGCGATCTAGAGGAGGAGATTGTTCCAAGCGGCAGCTGAGACATTATTGCTGTAGACATTTGCTTATAGCAGAGCAAAGTATGCATTTAAGTACTCACAGCTTACATCTTGGTATTAAAGATACATTTAGCATTACTTTTTTCCACCAATGAAAACTCTATTTCATATTTTGATTGAGTACACCAATTACTAAATATATTTACACAGCCAGGCCAACATATCCCTCCTCGCTTCCTCAATGTAAGGTTTATCTTGAGGATTAATATCTTCTCTCTTGCGGTGTACAAAGCCATGTGTCTGCCCAGGATATATTTTCACTTCAAAATCAACTTTACATTGCTGTTCCAACTTCTTTGTTACCTGAGTATACTGTAACAGAAAACTCCCTTTTATTATGATATGAAATTATTTTCATTTTATGTCATGTCCAAAGCCCCCTTATGTTCTCTCATCTCATTAGGAGTTGAGACATTTATGTCCTCAGCCTATATAGTTCCTGTGATATTCTGATCTTTACAGGTATAGTAATTAAATAGAAATTTATTGCAATTCAGTATCCTGGGACTCAAATTCTATAGTGCCATTTTTGGATGAACTATACATTTTGATGATTAACATGGGTTTACATGATCACACAAAGAGGGTGTAGCTAAACAGCCAAGATGGTGGCCAGAGTCCTAGAAGCCAATTATTCTGGTAAAGTATGCCAAAATATTTGCATGATTATTTTGTGATATGCCCAGTTAAACTCAGCCAATTCAAGTTTTATCCTACAGTATATGAAGTTTTATAATTCTATATCTTAAAAATATAAACAAACTTGTGATTCATAATGTTATTTTAAGGTTTGCATTAGGATTGCAAGGATGGCTTAATTTGCCTTCTCACATTACTCCCAAATATTATTAGTATTATTTCTGAATTCACAAAGCAACATTTCCCTCTCATGAAGCAGATTCTCACAGGGTTAGCCTCTGTCCCAAGACAGTCTAAATCTTTTACAGAACAATGTTTCTTTCCAGACCCCTTGTTGAGGAGTGACTCTTTTAAAAGGTGGGAAATTGCTGGAATATATACAATAATGTTGCATTTAGACACGTTTTGTGTCAGGTATCTGAAAGAATCATCAATTGCATCCATCCAGAATAACCAGAACTCCATAAAGGGGAGAATTACAAATCTATTCCCACTGATACAGTTAATTATTATACTACTTGTACATGTGAGATATGATTCTAAATTCACTATCCAGAACAATATCATACCTTGTCAAGAGGAATGTACTCATCCTTCTCTGCAACAATGAAAAATGTGGGATTTTTCAGGTTGAAATTGTCCTCCATTAAACCGACAGCTCCTAAAAAACCAAAAGTTGTATTAAAACCAAATATATTAGTACTAAATGGCATCACAAAAACCCCTTTTGTATCATACAAACAGTTCGAATTCAGAGATATTACCCACAAACTACCCATTTATAGTATTTGTTTCACTTAATCTTCTGTAGATAAATATAGACTTGAAAAGTAAGTTGTGTATATGAAGAGCCCTATAATATCATAGCAAGAATTGTCCATTAGTCCAGGCCAGCATAATGTTTCTGTCAGAGTAAAAAGGAGGACAAGAAAGGACTCATGATTGATACTCAATCGCTGCTTACCTTACAATGTGAACACTGACTGCCAATAATTTTGCAAGACCCAAAATTCCTAGTATGGAAATGGTTACATTCCCTAATAGATTTTTCAGGAAACATATCCCAATCTATTTATATCACCTATTTTTCTATTAACTCTCATTCCCTTGAAAATAATAAACTGCACAGCTTCCATTGCATTAAACACATACCATAGATGGACACGCCTACAGAAAAAATAGAATAGTTCAACATCAAATGATGTACAGCAGATCCACCCCAACAGAAGCCAATGACACCTATCCTCGTCACATTACATTCTTCCTTCAAATATTTCAAGACCACATCGATTTCCCTAAGGCACAAAAAAGTACGTCAGCAAAGAAATCAACCAGAAAAGAAAGGAAAACACATAAAAGCAGATGGACCCAGGATAACCATTTCATGAATGGAAAGGGCTCCTTGTATTCACAAAACACCAAAATCTAGTAGTGGAGGCTCCTTACAGGGTAAAGGTGGCTGAAAGAATTCCTTGCAATTCTTTTATCCTGTCTTTCATCCCAAACCATATAGAACAAGTTCTTAGATGGCTGCAAAATGGAGCATGAAGTACAAAGCCTGTATCTTTTACACTCCTTTGCTCTAGCACAACCAAACTTTGCTAAGTGCTGTTCTAGATTCAGTGAGGACATGTACTGAAATGAGGTGAATGGACAGCTGAGGTTTAATAGACCTGGAATGAAATTTGGAAACCTACGTAACAATTGGTCAGGAATATTGTTTGGCCAGTGAAAATGAAGGTTAACAGAACTTATAGTGTATCAGCCTAAAGAATGAGCATAATACAAGACAATATTATGGTTGGTTTCACAGTTAGCCAGATATTTACACTGGTTTTGACATTTTTAATCTACCTATCGAGATCTTCCCATCATGGATTGGCAGATGTTGTTGTTTGATGCTACTGATGTAAAGTCTTCCAAGCACAATTACATTTTGCAGTTAATTGATGGTGATTTTACCAATGTTGATGATGTTCAAGTGGTACTCCAGATGTTTTAGGATTTTTACCAAATATACACATTACTATTGGTATTATCTTTGCTTTCTCTTGCTACAGTTATTTTATTTTTATTTTCAGATCTTTATATTTTGTGATTTTCTTCAGTTCATTCTCTCCATTGATGGATTGGTAGAAACATTTCTGATATAACTGAAATTGGAGATTCTGTCTATAGTGTGCAGCTTGAGCTTCATATCTGATTTTCTTGACTAAACTGTAATTTGCTGTTTTATTATTTCCCAATGATCTTTTGAACTTTCTTGTCTTGAGTGATATTTGTTGATAAGGTATTCTTTGGTCTTCCTGTTCTTCAACTTCTTTTTTTCCCCCATCTGTTCTAGCTTGCTTACATCTGATCTTAGCATGTTGATGTTATTTTCCAACCTGATCTTTCATTTTGGTGATGCACTTATTTTCTTGTTTGTTGATTTTGCATCCAAGTTCTCCAACTTGCAGTTGTGCTATATATCAATGGTTTGTTTCTTGCAGGGATATTACACTATTGGCAGCTTTTAATACTTGTGCCAGCTGTTTTTTTGGAACAAGCTTCAATATAGGCAATCTTTTTGCAATTGACTGATGGAGACTTTCGTCAGTGCCAATGTTGTTTAAGTGTATAATTACATCTATCTATCTATCTATTATCTATCTATCTATCTATCTATCTATCTATCTATCTATCTATCTATCTATCATTTATCTATCTATCCATCCATCTGGTGAGATGAGATGGATTGGGCTGTGAGGTAGGTTGGGCTGAAAAGGTGACTGGCCCAGTAGTGGGTTCCTCTTACCTTCGCTACCGGTTTGGAACCGGGAGCGCATGTGTGTGCACGCTTTGCTCGTACGTGGCGCTTCTGCACATGCGCAGACCTGTGCATGCACAGAGCATCTGTGATGACATTCAGGTGGGTGGGCGGAGCCTACCGCCACCACCACTACTGGTTCGCCCAAACCGGGGTGAACCGGTAGAAACCCACCACTGGACTGGCCCCAAGTCATCCAGCCAGCTTTCATACCTAAGGAAGGCTTAGAATTCATAGTCTCCTGCTTTCTAGGCCAGGAACTTAACCATTTCTACTAAACACTATTTTTCAGAACATTTTGCTGAAACTGGCTGAAAAAAGTGTAGGAGATACGAGCTAAGATATATTAAAATTTGCAGGATCTGAAGAGGGTTGGTTTGTGTTTGTCTGTATGTTTTGACAGAATTTTATTTATGTGTATGTGTGTGTGTACAAAAAAAAAAAGTAAGTATCTTTCAAAATAGAATCTTACCTATCTATTTTTTTGGGATCTCGTGTTTTTAGCCATTCATTTAATTTAGATATATCATCAGATGGTTTCCAAGGTTCTCCTCTAAAAAAGTCTGGACAAATTGTACTGTACAAAAAATAAAAACAAAATAATTCATTAAAACCTTTCTTATTCAATAGTCCTCTATAACACAGACAATTCCCTCCCTTTCACAAAAATTCATTCGGAGAAAGGAACAATAACATGCCCTAAACAATGAGAGTTGTTAAATTGGATGACTAGCAAATAAATAAAGCCTAACCCCATATTCACCACATGTTTTCACGATAGAAGCAGAAACTGTATTATTGTCATTAGGTTAAAATACATGATTGGTGTAGTGGTTAATCTGTATAAATGCTGATGCATGGCTATAAGTTACATAACTAACTTATCTATGTCAGAAACTTTCTTGATTTCACTATAGTGTGTACAAAGAGAAAATTTCCTATATGGAAAATAATCCCAAAGGTCTCCTAGAGGAACATGATAACCAACAGATCAAATGAGAGGGTGGATATATGTAGGTCTCTGCTTTTAAATGCAAATATGAATTCATATCCTATATAGGTTGTCATGCATAGTATTAATTGCTCTTTGAATCTAAATATTAGCTTACTGAATTGATCAGTCAATCAATCAAATTATTGGCCATTTCCAAATAGGTTTTATTTTATAAAGCTAACAATCACCAGGTAAACCAGCTGCAGGTAAATTAATATACAAATCATTGTTATCATGTTGTATTTCATATTGTTGTGACTCTGGCTCCTGAGTCTGTCCTCACGGAGGAAGATGACTCTGAAAGTGATGGGGAGGAACTGACAAGACCTCCGTCTCCAGGACCCTCCTTTCTGGCAACGCCTCAGGTTCCAGCTGAAGGCCAGGAGGAAAGCATGTCGGGACACCCACTAATAGGGAGTGATGAAGATCAATCTTGGATTGATCCCAGGCAGCGTCGGCAGGAGAGGTGTGCACAGCAAAGGAAGAGGTGGAGAAGGGCCAGAGATTGCTCAGTCATTGAGCCATGTCCCACAGGGGATAAAAGTGGGTGGGGTTGCTCTGCAGGCTCTGTGACGGACAAAAACTGCATATCGTGAGCTTCAGATGGGATATTGTTCTGTATTAAGGCTTGGACTTTGTGAATGACTTCTGACTACTCTTTGAACTCTTGGTTGCCCCAGCAACAGACTACAGATACGCTGACTCCTGTTTCTAGAGGTGATAAGAAACTTGGCAGGCATTCGGAAAGTAGCTGCCATAATTTTTATCTGCCAAAAGGATTCAGATTACTGAAATTACTGATAGACATCTTTTGCTCGTGTATCTGCCTATGTGAGGTGGAGGGACAGAACACATATGCTGTGCTATGATTCTACATATCTATTCCATTACATACATATAAGCTTGGACATACAAACATATGTAATATAATGAACAAATGAACAAATTAGAAGGCACTTTGAATTAAGAATCACATTACATAAAGGAGAGAAGATTATGATGGAGAAAAAAATAAAATCCATTTCTTACATGTATCCATTGGAAGCAAGCAAATCAGCAATATATCTAGTATTTGGGAGTTGCCCTCCAAATATGTCATGAATCACAAGTACAGCTGCATCGGTCTGAAAAGAGGGCTTCTTCACATAGGCCTTAATATGCTCAATTGACACTTCACATCCAAGAGGTTGATAATCAAACACATCTCCAAGGTCACATGGACAAAATTTAGGCTTCTCTGCCATCTGTAAATGTAATGGAACACATCTGGAAGATAATTCTTTAGCGTGTTTGTAGATGACGGGTGCATGCATATACTCTGTAACTTACAGATTTAAAAATGGAACTACATATAAGCCTTGTAACTGACCATTACAATAATTTACCAATAATTTTATAGCTACAGTAAAGTATTTAGGATTAGACATCTAAATCAAACCAAACATTCAAAACCTGATTTACTTTTCAATTGGGTCTTACTGTCATCTTGGAATCTCTTGTGATTATGGTAATACAAGATATATGTTGAGTGTCTTAGTGAGAAAGAGACGGATCAAGATTTATCTTTTCTGGAAATTGTGTGAAGAAATTTAAGAGAAAGATGCCACAATCAGGATAGACATTTTTTAAAAAAGCTTTATTTGTTATAAATGCAGATAGAAGTAAGCTGAGTTTTGTGAAGGTTTATGTTCCTTGACTAAACTATATATGGGGGAGGGAGGGAGGGAGGGAGAGAGAGAGAGAGAGAGAGAGAGAGAGAGAGAGAGTGTGTGTGTGTGAGAGAGAGAGAGAGAGAGATGTGATCACCTCTGCACAGCTTTCTACTAAGAAACTCTTGGCATAAATGAACAGTCGCCTGCTTCCAACTGAGAACAAGGTGAAGACCTTTATATATATCTAGAGGTCCACTTTTAGTTCAACTTCCCAGGCATGTCAGACTCATGAAGGTTCTGCAGTGGAAGATCTTAAGCAATTTTAATATTAATAAGTATTGTAGAGTGGAACTCTTAGATATAGAATACAAACTGTAGTAGGAGATATGTAGCTGCAGAGGAAGTAGTTTTTCATTGTAGAGTGTCAGAATCACATGCAAGAAGAACTGAGCTTGGCTGTTATTCAAAAGTTTTTCATAGCACAAGTCAGACCCACTTACCTTTGAGTTTGGGTTTTCTTGTAAGTAATCGTATTACTAGACATTGGTGACCTTTGTTTTTCCAATACATTGATTTGTCTTTAACATCTCTGTGTTTGCTTGACCTGGTTTTGCAAAACTACGTATAATACATTTTGGAGATGGAAGTACTCTAGCATCCTGCTTGAGTAGACAAAACAAACCTCATCTTGAGACTCGAGACAAAACCATAAATAGGATGAAAATTAAAGAGTTCCCTTTTACATGTTTTTCTCCAACATTGCTCAGGCCCAAAAGGCCAATGCAAACATTAAATCCTCCAGCTGTAACAAATAACTCATTCTCACTTGCCATTAACTTATGTAATGCTAATGAGTGAAGTCCTTTAGTTTTTGGCCCCCAATTCACTCTTAACTGCAACAGTTTCCATCTCAAAGCTTTCAATCAAATTATTTAGAATTTTATTCTAAATCCCCATTTTACCTGACTTGCTTCTTTGAAAATTTGTCGCTGGCTAATTCATTACGAGTCCCATTTATCTTTATTAACAATTTTATTTCCTTTTAGGGAAAATGTTGTTAAAGACCTTCATTTTTACTATCACTTGGCCTGGGTAAAGTAGTACCCAGGCCAAGTACTTTGTCTAAGTAGTTAGACAAAGAATCTTCCATATTGGATCATCAGAATAGTAGAGCCTTCTTTGTTTATTAACTTTGTAAACTATCCTTTCTCCTGCCATGCCCCGCCATTCCCTTTTATTCTTTAATCTTCTCATGCCTCTCTCTCTGACTTAGTTCCATACAAGCCCTACATTCTCAGTCTTTCCCTTCTTCTCCACTCATTCCCTTATTTTTTTCTGTTTGTTTTCAAGTTTGGTTCCTTTTTGATCTGCTCAAATCATCTCAGTGTAATTCTTTGGAATGGTTCACTCACTTTTTCATCAAGTCATATTTCACCTTCATGCATTTAATGCTGAGCAACTTTCTTCTTGTTTTTTCATGTCCACTTCTTCAGCCATCCATTTCTACTGAATTCAGCATACCTTTGTACCTTTTTTACATAGCCAGTTGTCTCTTATAATTGCAAAGTAGAAAGAAGCATAGCATACTCATAATCTCACCCATTTTCACTTCTTTTGACAAGCATTCATTCCTTGCACCCATATGCTATCAATTAACTTTCTTGCACATTTTAAACATTTCCCCACCTTTAATAAACATTCTATCAAGGTTCATAAATTTGACTTCTTGCTCAAATTTTCACTATTTTTATATATCCCGTGATTTTTCTTTTTATTCACCCTGTCACGTACATCCTTGATCTTTGTAACATTATCTTCAAATCCATAGTTCTCACTTTTGTCTAACATTCACTGCAAATGATTCGGAATCTCTCTTCACCAGCAAAAGGGCATCATCTATATCCAAAGTATTTATAGCTGTTGTTAAAATATCTCTCTCACAACAAGGATCCTTATATGGTTATCCATAAATACATTACAATATCAAGGGAACGTCATGCACCTTGATTTAGATCCCTCTTAAGAAATAATCCCCTGGACCATTTCTTAAGCATTCTATTTATCTCATATACCCTTTACTCACATTCTGCATCTTACAGCATTCAGCAGCTGTCTTTTACTCATGTGCAAAACATTCTATAAATGAAACTATAATATGCTTCTAACTCACAATCAACTTTTTTTCTCCCTTCCATACATTTGGTTATGACCTCCTAAAGAGCAAATCTAGTCTGCATAGTCCCTGCCTAGCAGAAATCTTTCCCAAATTTGCTTATTGTTACCTCTCATACCTTTTTGCTCAGAACTCTGCCAAACACCTTCCTGGGTAGCCTTAAGAAAGTAATTCCCCTGTAGTTTTTTCATGTCTTTTTCTTATCTTTTCTTCAATATGGCAGAATAAGCAAGAAGGCATCAGCATTTTGGCTACCGATTTAACCTTTCTCCAGAAAAAAAATATGATGGAACATATATGATTTCAACAGTACCTGGAATGTTGAAGCCAATATCAAAGGGCTGGAAACTGTTTCTTTAAGGCAGTCTGCTTGCTGCTGGGGAATGCTGCAGCTTCTTTCACCTTGCTTGGTACATCTCCACTGAAAAGGCAGCAAAAAGGTTTGCTTATTACAAAAGAGCTCAAAGGTTGACAGACTGTAACTCTACCCCAAAGTGGGGAGGATTCCAACAACTCCTCCTCCGTGACTGACCTCCAAGCTATCATGTATCACACGCTTTTCATGTTTCATGTCTTTTTGAATCAGTGGGTTCTTTATTCCTCAGCCCAGCTTTGGGAGAGAAACCACAATTTTGGAATGCAAAACTTTTGAATATCTTGAAAAAGAGTTTTGATGTTTTAAGACATGGCTGAGGCCTTTGGGGAGTTGCTGGGAGGAAATAAGGTTATTACAGCTCAATTCATGTAACCATTGCATTCAAGGGATGGTTGCTATGTTCCATTTTGTATGACGTGCCATAGATTATGTTACGATTAATTAAATTTATTCAGAAATCTATAGTTTCCCCACTATTGTGCATGCTAATCTTTGAGTAAAAAGAAAAATATACAGTAGCTTGTCCCAACTATGTTCTATATTTTGATGTTGCCAGGTTTTTAAATAATGTTGCAGTCTTATTTTAATTGTCTGCTGTGTAATACAATCGATGTTTACAGTTCTGCAATCACTTTTTCCTTAACTATTATCCACACATTAGAACCTAAAGGTTGACAACATTAAACTAACAATTTATAACTTTAAAGGTTTTTATAGGATTTTAAGAAGAGATTAGACAACCATTTGTCTGAAATGGTGTAGGTTCCCTGCTTGAGCAGGGAGTTGGACTAGAAGACCTCCAAGGTACCTTCCAACTCTGTTATTCTGTGATTCTGATAGAACATCCAAGCCTAAAGGACCTCTATTTCCTTTATATTTATTTACATTGTAAACAGGAGTGGGTTCTATTTACCTTTACTACCGGTTTGCATCATGCTCGCGTGCCCACACACTCTTCTGCGCATGTGCAGATCACCTATGATGACGTCTGGGTCAGTGGGCGGAGCCTCCCATCGGTTTTACCACCGGTTCTTGCGAACCAGTCCAAACCAGGGGCAACCTACCACTGATTGTAAACCAAAATGTATACCATGCATTCTCTGAAAGAAAACTATGCTTATTTTAATTTGTTTAAAATGCCACTTTGCAAATGCATGGGGCTGTCCATACAAAGGGGTAGGTGAGTTTAAAAAGGCAGTGGTTCTGATCACACAATTGGAAATCCCACCCTTTTTAATGCAATGTCCTGTATAAAAGCGTGGGGCTTTGGTCACATGATCACTTGTGGATACCCCTGACAAATTGGATCCCCAAACCTTATGTATAAATAGATATGAATATTGCTTTGGACTTTGCAGCTTCAATGCCTGGGCTCAGTTCCATCTAGCAAAGATTCTGTGGGCTGTTTTCCAATTCTGGCCTAGAGCTCACAATTTGTGCCTTCACAATTTAGAAACTAGGTCATGATAATATCTGTTCTAGTGGGTTGTGCTTGATAGCAAAACATTAACATGGAGATGCTTCATTTTGAAAGGATGCATTATTGGGAACCTTTTTCAAGGATTTCCAAATGAAGAGAAGTGGACAGCCACTCCAAAGAAGCCTCATTTGATTTCATCCCAAGTAGGAATTTAATCGCAAATTCTACACATGCTGATCTTTTTAATTCTTACATGTCTTTGTCTTCTGAAATAATTGCTAGAAGGCACATTTGAGATGTCTAATATACAGTGTCTTTTGTATAAAAGTGGCTTTATAAAAACTGGCTGAATAAAATTAGAAGGATTTAGTTATAGTGTATTATTTCCCATGAAGGAATGAAAAGAGAACGAATAAGAGTTATATGAAAGAATGAAAACTTAATAAGTAAGCAACTGTAATTATACCATACACATTGTTTTTATAATAATTATCTCTGCCTTTTCAGCAAATTCTGAGCTGAATCTCTTTCTATTTCCCTTCTGGAAGGGAAGTGCAGCACTTTTGTTTAGGTGTTAAAATGGATTTTTTTAAAAAAAATGAGTTTAACATAATTTTTTTATGAAGTGTCATAGATTTTAGCAAAATAACATAATCCATCCAGTGGTGAAATCCAATTTTTTTTACTACCGGTTCTGTGGGCGTGGCTTGGTGGGCGTGGTGTGGTGTGGCTTGGTGGGCGTGGCAGGGGAAGGATACTGCAAAATCTCCATTCCCACCCCACTTGGGGCCAGCCGAGGTGGTATTTGCTGGTTCTCTGAGCTACTCAAAATTTCCGCTACCGGTTCTCCAAACTGCTCAAAATTTCCACTACCAGTTCTCCAGAACCTGTCAGAACCTGCTGGATTTCACCCCTGAATCCATTAAATAAATCTATAATATAAAACCTAGATAAAACCTATTTCTTCTAACAATGTATATTTTTTTAAAAAATGTACATTTAGTGTATTTTAGTTTATTGAATTTCCAACAAAGTTTTGAAAATCAGCTATCTCTTTTAGATCATTCATAAAATAAGCCATTTTCTAAATATGGTTAAAAATGCAAAAATCGGTTTGGATCATTCTTCCATGTTTGGAAAATTCGACTGGCAGGGTCCAGGAGGAGGATCTTCTCTGCTGTTGCTCCTGCCCTCTGGAACATCTTGCCCCGTGATGTGAGGTTAGCCCCAGCTCTCCTATCGTTTTGTAAAGGCCTAAAGACATGACTGTGCCAGTTGGCTTAGGGCTCCAGTGGGGGATCAGTGCAATGGAGGTGGTTGATTGAGTAATAACAGATCCCAGATCCCTCCCACTCCACTGCCATCCTCCCCATGTGTCTTTGGCTGTAAGGTTTGATTTTTAACATTTTATGTTTTAATTAAGATGTAACTGTAAGCTGCCCAGATTGTTGTTGTGGTAGTGGTGGATTTTTATTAAGCATCACAAAACTTTATATTTGTAAAAAAGTATATCAGTTAGGCCACTCCTCTTTATGGTACTCCCATACTCAGTACCTAGAGACAGTGTGAGCCTGGATGAGGGAGAACAGGCTTGATCAAATGGCAAAACCAAATTCTTTGTTTGACCTCTTGGTTCCATCTCTAATGTGGTTGCACTTCCCCATGCAAGGAAGAGTTTAACCAAAACTCTTTAGTCAAAAGAGTTCAATTTTTATTTGTGTTTGTTTTCATCTATCTTAATTTCAGTCATCAGCATCTGGCTAAAAGTTTAGTTGACATTTTCAACCTAGAGAGAAATTACTATTTTCCCCTTCTCCTTTTTTACAAAAATCAACCCATTTTTAAAAATTAGTTTTATGCTCATGGGTCCTCCAACATACAGAAAACAGTTTGCTCAGTATATATCTACTGTAGATGCTATAAATACAGTAACTGGTTTCTCCTTTGTATAATATACTTTGAATGGCTGTGGAAAGGAGTAGATGTGGATCCATGATGGGGTCACCAATCAAAGTATCTCTCTACACTGCAAATCTGTTTTGCCTTTTTTATTCCAATAAAAAAAACAACAACCGCTGATTAGTATATATTATATAAAGGGCAGGTTTTCAAGAGAGACTTCTTTTTCTATGTAACCAGTCATAGAATAGAATAGAATAACAGAGTTGGAAGGGACCTTGGAGATCCTCTAATCCAACCTCCTGTTTAGGCAGGAAACCCTTCACCACTTCAGACAAATGGCCATCTAATCTCTTCTTAAAAACTTCCAGTGTTGGAGCATTCACAACTTCTGGAGGCAAGTTGTTCCACTGATTAATTGTTCTAACTGTCAGGAAATTTCTCCTTAGTTTTAAGTTGCTTCTCTCCTTGATTAGTTTTCACTCATTGCTTCTTGTTCTACCCTCAGGTGCTTTGGAGAATAGTTTGACGCCCTCTTCTTTGTGGTAATCCCTGAGATATTGGAACACTGCTATTATGTTACTCCTAGTCCTTCTTTTCATAAGACTAGACATATCCAGTTCCAGCAACAGTTCTTTATGTTTTATCCTCGAGTTTCCTAATTGTCTTTGTTGCTCTTCTCTGCACTCTTTCTAGAGTCTCAACATCTTTTTTGCATCGTGGCGACCAAAGTTGGATGCAATATTCCAAGTGGGGGCTCAACAAGGTATTATAAAGTGGTATTAACACTTCATGTGATCTTGATTCTATCCCTCTGTTTATGCAGCCTAGAACTGTGTTGGCTTTTTTGGCAGCTGCAGCACACTGCTGGCTCATATCTAAGTGATTCTCCACTAGGACTCCAAGATCCCTCTCATAGTTACTACTATTGAGCAAGTTACCATCTATACTGTATCTGTGCATTTTGTTTTTCTTGCCTAAGGGTAGAATCTTACTTTTTTCACCATTAAATTTCATTTTGTTAGATAGCGCCCAAAGTTCAAGTCTGTCAAGATCCTTCTGTATCTTAAGCCTATCTTCTGGAGTGTTGGCTATTCCTGCTAGCTTGGTGTTGTCTGCAAATTTGATGAGGTTCCATCTATCTCCTCGTCCAAATAATTGATGAATATGTTGAAGAGTACTAGGCCTAAAACAGAGCCCTGGGGTACCCCACTGCATACTTCCCTCCATGTAGATGAAATTCCATTGAGTACTACACATTGAGTGCAGTTGGTCAACCAGTTATGAATCCATCTGGTGGTGATGCTGTCTAACCCACATTTTTCTATTTTATCAAGTAGTAGTTATGGTCTATTTTGTTAAAAGCCTTACTGAAGTCCAAGTAAATTATATTGACAGCATTCCTCTGGTCCACTAGTTTTGTCACTTTGTCAAAGAATGCAATAAGATTAGTCTGGCATGATCTGTTTTTGATAAACCCATGTTGGCTTTTGGTTATTACTTTGTTTGCTTCTAGGTGTTCGCTGATTCGTTGCTTGATTATCTTTTCCAGAATCTTCCCTGGTATTGAGGTCAGGCTGATGGGTCTGTAGTTTCCTGGCCATCTTTTCTTTCAATGTTACAAACTATCACAGTTATCAGTAGAATGACAGCTGAATTAAAACTGCTGCTGCTTCTGCTTTGTTTCTAGTGTCAGCCAGAGGGAAGGGTATATCAAAGCTTCATAGTTGAGAAAATATTGGAGAATGAGACTGGAAAGCAAAAATCTGCTTCAAAGCCATTGAATTATTTCTCCTTTGGTGCATTAAGACTATTCAGCTGGCTCCAGAAAGCATACCCGATTAAGAGAACTTCTTGAAAATCTTAATGTAATTTGCACTGAAATTAGATGGGTGAGGAATATCTTGGAATACAAATTGCCAACCAGGAATATGTGTATTTGCCTTTCTAACGACAAATAGTTGAAGGCAGGCTATTCACGCCAAGTTCAAGTTTGATTTAATTGCTACATTGTTTTTTTCACACATTACTTGCGAAGTGTTTCCTTATAATTTTTACTGCAAACTGTAGACAAGTAGATATTTTTAAAAACAAAATAGTAAATGGGAGTTAGAGCTTGATTAAGTTAGATTGTTGAGCTGTCAGATCATATCTCGTGCATCATACCGCATATTTCTGCATACTTTTAATGAACTTCCACAATTTATAGCTAGTTATACCTCCATCTGCCTGGTAGTGGGAAAAAAACCTCTTTCCCAAAATTAGTGTGAGAAAATAATGTTTACTTGGATATATATTATTTAAGCATTAAGTCAAATTATACCACCAGTTCAAGTGTTCGTTATTTAGTTTCAAAACTCTCAACTTTAAATTATTTGGAGAGATAGAAAATTACAAACATCTTATCCCTTTGTGTTTTTTTCTTTTAAAAACTTATGCCTTATTTTTACTTTGTGCCTTTTTAAAAAGTTGGTCTCCTCCATCTTTAAAAAAAGATTGTATTATTCATAGAATCATATTGCCTTGGAATAAGACAAAATTTAATTTGAGACGGATTCCAACTTTGAATCCATTGCTCTATGTTGCATCAGAGATAAATATTTGTTATCATTGATTAACTACTACAAAGCAAGACTTAGAGAAAGATTTTGGGGGCAAAGTCTGTGTCTTCAAGGTGATGTCTAATTTGAGTCGATAGACCAGCACAAGCAAATAGAAAATTAGATGTTTGCAGCCCACATGTTATAGTGGTAATAGAACCATGATGGAAAACCTAAGGCATGTGTGCCAGAGGTGGCACACAGTACCCTCTCTATGGGCACACAAGCCATCACCCCAGTTCAGCTCCACCACGCATGCGCGCATGCCTGGTTTTTGGGGCTCTGTTGTGCATGCGCTGGTGTCTGTGTGGAGGGCACGCGTGCATGTGTGGGGGGCACTTTGGGCACTTGGTCCAGAAAAGGTTAGCCATCACTGCAATAGAACTAAGGTCCAAAGCTAAGTGTATCAATGCTGAAATGCTGAATCTCCGAAGACTCAGGGCGGCTTACAATGTGCTCAGCAATAGCCTTCATCCTTTTGTATATTTATACAAAGTCAGCTTATTGCCCCCACAACTGGGTCCTCAATTTACCTACCTTAGAAAGGATGGAAGGCTGAGTCAACCTTGAGCCTTGGCGAGATTCGAACCCTGCAGTAATTGCAGGCAGCTGGTCTTAATAACCAGCTAAATAACAGGGTGCCTTAAACCCCTGTACTACCAAGGCTCTTGGTATATTCAATATATTTACACAATGATAATGCAGTATATAATATAGGAAAAATCTTCAAGTATGTATAATTTCCATAGAAGTAATGGAATAATACAATAATGAATCCAGTAACAACAGATATTCAATGGTTAATATTGCCATATCTTTCAAATGCATTTTCCCTTCTTCAGATTCTAATAGGCAAGCCTACAATTTTTACAATAAGTTTTTTTAAAACAAATAAAGGGCATTTTGTTGTGGAAGTTGGAGGACTATGGGATATGTCACTTTAAAACATAATGTATCTGTTCAGCCATTCTATTAAATCCGTTCTTGCTTCTTCGGTGTATGGCACATCTTTTGGCTTTGTGTCTTCAGGCTTACACTGTGCAAAACCATGAACTTGTCCAGGATATACTTTAATTTTATAATTTACTTTACAATATTCTGCAAGTTTTTTTTCCAGCAAAGAGATCTGTAGCAGAAAAATATATATGTTATTTATGGTAAATTTTAACATTACATTTTTAAAATTATTTGTTCACGTGTAACCTGGATTCTTTTTTTTTTTTAATTTGATTTATATGCCGCCCTTCTCCGGAGACTCAGGGCGGCTTACAATGCGTTAAGCAATAAGCAATAGCCTTCATTCTTTTGTATGTTTTATACAAAGTCAGCTTATTGCCCCCACAAACTGGGTCCTCATTTCACCTACCTTAGAAAGGATGGAAGGCTGAGTCAACCTTGAGCCTTGGAGAGATTCGAACCAGCAGAAATTGCAGGTAGCTGTGTTAATTACAGGGTGCACTAAACCCTGTACTATCAAGGCTCTTGGATCAAGGCTGCCAGAATATGGGTAGGTGATGTGGGTGGGTGCTACAGAGTACCCGTGGGTACTCTGAGTTCCACAGGCAGGCACTGGATAGAGCTTGGATAGACATATAGGTGCTCTTGGCCAGTGGACCATTACAGAGTGCAGGCAGGCAGGTGCTACAGAGTAGCAATAACAATAGCACTTAGACTTATATATGGCTCCAGAGTGCTTTACAGCACTCTCTAAGCAATTTACAAATGTCTGCATGTTGCCCCCAACAATCTGGGTCCTCATTTTATCAATCTCAGAAGGATGGAAGGTTGAGTCAATCTTGAGTTGGTCAGAATTGAACGGCCGGCAGTCGGCAGAGTCAGCCTGCAATACTACATTCTAACCACTGCGCTACTACGCCTCCATTCTCCATGCTACTTGGAGGACTCCTTGGGAGAAAAAGCAATGGGAATGACTTGCAACCTCTTACTTGCTTCTACATTGACTTTGCTTGTAGGAATCCAGGAGGGAAGATTGCAAATGGTGATCATGTGGCCGCTGGGATACTGCAGTCATGGTCATTGCAAGTTGGTTGTCAAGTGCCCAGATTGCATTCCTGTGACTGGAGGATGCTGAAATGGCCACAGTTTTGAGGACGGTCATAAGTGCCCGTTATCCAATGCTGTCATAAGTTTGAATGGTTGCTGAATGAGTAGTCCTAACCAGAGGACTACTAGTAAAGGTTATACCACAGAAACATCATAATTATTTTAGTCTGTTCCTTTTGAGCAAACCAAATTCTGCAGATCAAGTGTGGGCAGCTCAAGAATTTTCAGTCCTTGGAAATGGGGTGCATATCAGTGGTGGGTTTCAAATTTTTTAACTACCAGTTCTGTGGGTGTGGCTTGGTGGGCATGGCATGGCTTGGTGGGCATGGCAGGGTAAGGATACTATAAAATCTCCATTCTCTCCCCACTCCAGGGGATGGTTACTGCAAAATCCCCATTTCCATCTGATCAGTTGGGACTCAGGAGGCAGAGAATAAATGGGGGGCGGGCCACTCAGAGGTGGTATTTACCGTTTCTCCAAACTACTCAAAATTTACACTACCGGTTCTCCAGAACTGGTCAGAACCTGCTGAAACCCACCTCTGGTGCATATGCGGAATGATATTGTATAATACCTCTGAGCACACAATGAGTAGAATAAATGCTTTGGAGTAATTGCACCTTGTATTGCAGAGGAGGTTTCTGGGAAAATAGCACATTTTAGCTATCTTCTGCTTGTAAGCATGTACTTTGTCAATGATAGTCCTGTCCCTACTAAAAAAAACCCACCCTGCTAATTATTATCCATGCTAAAAATCAGGCGGACAGGAAAATATTAAATTGATGTCAAATGTTTCTCCCTCTGTGCAGGAATTCCCTTCTTCCACATAAACACTATGTAGCAGGGATAAATAGCTGTTTTCAGCTGGGGCTCCAGTACCTCATTAGTTGCTGCTAGCTAAATGTTCCCACTGGTAATACTACAATAAGAGCAGACTCATTATTTTTCGGAAGGATCCTTAAATGAAAATAAGGATCCCCTGCAATGCTTATTCCTCATTTTCACTCATTTGCTACGTGTGTTGCAGAGATATCAGTCATAAAGCTGTTTACAAACTGAAGATAATTGTTTACCTGTTGAAGAGAAATTGTATGATCTTTCTCGCCAAAAATGAAAAAGGTTGGATTCAGTAAATTATATCTAGTTTCAGAATCTCTAATAATTCCTAAAAGAAGAGAAGTTACATTAAAACTACATTTTTCAAGGCAAACAATAAAAGTAGAAAACAAATACTCCATTTACCTTAATTATTATGCTATTTGATGATAATGTAGACATTTTAAGGTATAATTGGAAAATATAATAAAAATATGAAATGTTATTTTAGATTCAAGTGGTTCTGCAGTGATTAATGTTTTTACAGTTCCAATATGAGCCTCAGGGCTAAGGACATCTTATATATACCGTATTTTTCACTCCATAAGACGCACTTCCACGCCCCCCCCCAAAAAAAGTGATGCTGGTCCTTTGGTGAATAGCAGCTGAGCCGCAGCGGGGGGGTGGTTCTTTTACAGTGCTGAATCCCACCTCTTCTGTCTTTGTCATTGCCTCAGGAGTCAATAGGCAGAGTTGGCACATGAGAGGAAACCTATCTGTGGTCCTCTCAGGCTCCACCTGATATATATTTTCTTGTCTTCCTCCTCTAGACCTAGGTGCATCTTATGGTCAGGAGCATCTTATAAATACAGTACTTTATTCATTAATTTTGAAAACAGCACTTAGTGCCAGCCAGTTCCTGTAGTTTCTATGATACTGGTGTATCCCCAATTCCTAGAATGTACTAAATTATACTGGTATATATCATCTGCCATAGTCCTATTATACTTAATTGTATTATTTTCTGTGCAGTATACCAGTTCTCCTTCAGGGAATTGGTCTAGTACTAAAGCAGAGATTGCAAATCTGCACCAGCTTGATATGTATAAAAAAAATTAAACTTTCCACAATTATTTGAAGAACATGAGTTGTAAAACATTTATAGACTTTGTATTTGGTTTCTAAAGGGTATACACTCTTCATAACTCAAAACCACCTATGGAACAGTCTAAAGAATAGAGAAGTAGCATGTACTATGCAAATATTATAATATTCAGTCTTGTAAGTGAATCTACAAAAATTTAATAATTTCAGTTATCATGTTTACTAATCTAGCTGTCTTTGTCATTTATGATGTAGTGATGAAATAAACTATTTTTTATAAAGCTTTCCTATCTGACCATCTGCTAGTATTTTTATTTGCCAGGGATAATCAGGGAGAAGCTATTTATATTTTTGGCATAAATAGATGAAAAATGATTTTAATAGCATTAAGTTGGGGTAAATTGAATAAACTATTTTTGTTACTTGCGATAAGAAAATTAGCCAAGGCTTTGACTGCTTCTGTTATTTCCACTTTTTGAAAAGAAATATCAATATGCTAGCCAAAGGATATATTCTTGTATAAAGAACATAATCTTTTGCATGTTTACTTCCCCTTCTACCAGATAAACACATATAGGATATTCTCTTGGCTATATGTGTGCTCATGCTGGCTTGACACAATATTAATTTAAATGATATCCTCTGACTATACCAATCCTTTGCTGCCGTGGCATCTTACTTTATATTTCAGAAAAGCACTTTCTAATGGGTGGGTCTTTCTGAACACGTGTGTGTGTGTGTGTGTGTGTGTGTGTGTGTGTGTGTGTGTATACGGTCATGCACACATGTTGTTGGTTAAGGAGGCTATGAAGGTTTTTGAGAGCTTAGATTACAGCTTTTCAACCTTGGTGGCCTGGAAAAATTGTGAGACAACCCAAGAGAATATCCTATATATATAGCTAGTCCTTGACTTACAACCATTCATTTAGTGACCATTCAAAGTTACAACAGCACTGGAAAAAGTGACTGTTGACTGTTTTTCCCAGTTACGAGCATTGCAGCATCCCCATGGTCATGTGATCAAAATTCAGATGCTTGGCAACCAACTCAGATTTGTGACCCAGGGTCATGTGATGACCTTTTGTGACCTTCTCACAAGCAAAGTCAATGGGGAAGCCAGATTCAGTTAACAACCGTGACAAGAACAAACATAATGGGGCAAAACTCACATAACAACTCTCTTGCTTAGCAACAGAAATTTTGGATTCAGTTGTGGTCATGAGTTGAGGACTACCGGTATGATTATTGGGGATAAGTGGAAGCAAACATGCATTAGATGATCTTGTACATATTTAATAATAAAACAGGAATATATATTTTTTCATCTTATTGAATTTTCTTCAGTTTTTCAGTGAAAAGTGGAAATGACAGAAGCAATAAAATTGTGGGCATTTTCCTTCTTCCCAGGAACAAAAATAGTTTACTACTTTACAAAAACCTACAATAAAAAATAGGAAGCATAGAAAATAGTAGAAAAGAAAATAGTATTTTTTTTTAAAAAAGCATTTTTTAAAAGCTGATTTTAAACAAACTTCTATTTGTAAGGCAAGACTTAGAGTCATTAGGCTATGTCAGAACACATTTTTTTAAAAGGAGCTTTAGAAAACATTAACCGGGTGATCACTGACTCAGCTGAAAGAGCAATCTTTCCTCTGTCAACCGTCTAATGAATTGCAACAGTTATTCAGGAACAAACCGAAGCAGATTATGAAATGGATAAAAGCCTAAAGGTGACATAACATATAAATGTGTACTTCAAAAGTGAAATACAGCAGAAAAATGCAGCCTGAGGTCTCAGACAGTGAATAGGGTGATAACATCCATTTTTTCCTTCCAGAAGAAATTGTATGCCTGTCTGGTAATGGGGCAATTAGATAGCATAGATATGCCCCTTGTTTGGTAGAGAGAGAGAGAGAGAGAGAGAGAAAAGAGCACTCAGTTTGTAAAAAGTACTAATATAGTGCAGTTTATCCTTACAAACAATGATTTCATACTGTTCAAATTGAAGAATTAATAAGTGTTCTTTTTTACCATAGAGGGACACTCCAGCCTTTAATTCAGGATTTGTTAGCATCACGTGATGTACAGCCATTCCACCCCAGGAAAATCCAACAATACCAATCCTGATTGCATTATACTGCTCTTTTAAATATTTCAAGACCGTATCGACTGTCCTAAAAAAATGAAATGCATAAACAAAAATGACATCTTTGCATGTACGTAAAACAAACTACACGGTTATCAAAATGTATCTTTCCTGCTTGTTAAAAACAATTCTTATAAAACATTATCCACTCAGGTGCTGGTTTCTTAAGAGGATGACAATACACAACCAAGTTAAGTCCTCAGAATGGATTTTCTGAAATTAAATGCCAGTTGTGAACAACTTATTGTTGTATTTGGTACTCATTTACAAATAAATGCACCAATGACCAATACTGATCATATTCTTGAAAGCTGAAACCCACATGAATTGAAACTTTATAACCTGCATAACTACAAAAGAATCCTGGAGCCTTATTGTCCCTTTGCTCTGCTCAGTCACTTTTACAGAGAATTAGGTTTTTTAAAACTGTGCTTCTGGTCGTTGTCTTTTAGTTTGGGAAGCTCTCAAAAATCTTCTTTGTGTTCAGAGAGTCAAAAAGCAAAGATAGGTTGTCTTGGTATTGGAGTATGGTTTAATTTGAGTTGAAGATGGCATGTGAAATGCCTTGCTCATGCCCCAACTTGTTACTTTTAGCTATCATTAACTGCTTAACTCCACTGAATTCCATCCTAAAGGAATTAAAAATGCAAAGTATCCAAGAAAGGTGTTCTCAATAAACACAATTGGCAATATTCCTGGTCTACAGATTCACTTGAAATGGTGTCTGATAAAATCCATTGTTTGATAAGACATAGGTTAAACACACAGGTTAAAAGAAAGCCATTAAATAAATATACTGTATAGACAAGCAAGAGAGGAGGAGGAAGGAAAGAAGAGAAATGATACTACAGTATCTTTTTTTTTTTCTACATGCAAAACAATGCAGTATGGGTAGACCACAACTTACAACAGTTTATTTAGTGACTGTTCCAAATTAAACAGCACTGGAAAAAGTATGTTATGACCATTTTTCACACTTATGACTGTTGCAGCATCCCCATGGTCATGTGATTCACATGTCTCACTTAGCAACAGAAATTTTGGGCTCGAAGTAGTCAAGGACTACTTGTATGCGTCGCTATATAATTTATATTTATTTATTTTTTACATGAAAACATCGCTTGCATCATCCTTCCCTCAATCACATAGTCAGGTTGTTCAGTTCACCAATAAAAATGGTACAGCTCCACAAAGATATGTAAAATCATCTACAAATCCAGGTGTAACTACTGTTGTAGTAACAGTAAAAATGTTTAGTGTATGATATATTTTTCATTTCCCTCATAGATGCAATCTTAGACAGATAATAAAGCACTATTCACACACTACGTCACAGCAGGTGTCAATACCTAATCAACCCTGGCTGATGTAGAAAATGCAGAGTAATTGGACAGAGAAAATATTTTGGAAGCAGATGAACAAGAGGTTTGTAGCTGAGTGAATAAGGAAGAAAAATGATGAGAGAAATATTGTAGAAATGTGTATAGAAATGGTAATTATATCTTTCAGAACTGAAATAAGAGCTTTAAATGTTAATGTTGAATCATGATAAAAATGACGCCATAATTGTTGAGAGAATGTGAATGCTTTAGGTGTGGGTGGTATATGAAAGAATGACTGTGTAACTTATTTAAAGTGAAGACTGCATCTCTGCCAAATGATTAGAATAATGGCATTTTTGTTTTGTTATACAAACAGAAAAGAAAAAAAGTGTAAAATCTATTGGGGCATTAGTTTATTAAGAATGCATGGGAGAATATTTGACAAATTTCTGACTGAAAGTGTGTAAGTGGTGACAAACAAGACTCTGAGAAATGCTGTATATATCTCTTATACAAGGAAAGGAATGTAGAGATTTTGCTTCTCAGCACCCTACTAAGAATTGTATAAATATCAACATTCATTATATATTGGTAGTTTAGAGAAAGTATGCTATAACATGAATAGATTGAATAATGGGACATTTCATGAAAATTGGGAATTGAAGATTGGTTGCTAAACATGGTAGGAGTGCTATACAGTATGTGAGAATAAATGGAATAGTGAACAGATGAATTTTGAACATGGAGTAAGACAAGAATGTGTATATCTCCTTGCCTGTTTAACCCACTTATGCATGAATGGATGTTTGTTTTGATGTTAGAGACGTTCGAGATAAATTAATATGTTCTGTAAGCAGATGAATTGCTGGCCAGGTACAGTAACCCCAATCATAGTATAATATTTATTAAGGATGAGAACAAGATATGTTTTTACGTACATGAATAGAACAAGACATGCTTTTACATGCAATGCTTGGTTCTATGTGGTACCTACACTTTTATGAATAGTGTATTCTCAACATGGCAAAGTTAGATAAAAATCTTGAGTGCATAAAAAATTAAATCTGTTTAAAGCGGTTGATCGTATTCTAACAACATGAGGGTGAATCCTTTCTTATATGTAGCATAAGCCATTGTTTCTTTACTCCCTTTCTATGATTTAATGGTAATTTTTCTTTCATTTCTCAAATGTGGAATGGCAGCTTGTTGCTGATATAACTGACATTCCTGTCTTGAGAAATTCTGGCTTCCATTGTGTATAATACACTGAAGTAGTTTGATCAGATGAAAAAAACGATCAAAATTGCAAAATAGATAGATGATGAAAGAATGAATTGGCCAAGATAAAGGGGAAAAGCAAAGAAAATCGTGGTTGAATGCAATCAATGAGATCCTCAACAAAAAAAATGAGAAGTTTAAAAAACAATATGCAATGTAGAAACTGGTGCAAATATAAGGGGAAAGTGAAGATAGTTTGCAACGACAGAGTGAAGTGTAGTGTTAGAGTGAATGGAATTGGTATAAACTAGGTTTATAGTTCCTTGTCCTTTAATTTATTTGCCTACTACTACTACTTTTTTTTTCTGTGCTTCACCTGCTTTTGAATCAGCATCACAGAAGGCTAGAAGGAAACTTGGAGGTCTTCTAGTCCAACCCTGTGCCCAAGGCAAGGTTGTTTATCCTGAAAAGAAGTTGTACGATGGTATGCAAGTATGTATGCTTTGGTGAATCCAATATAAACAAAAAATCCTAAAGAAACAAAAACATTGATCCTTCTTTAACTGTTGTGAACCTAAGGCATATTTTATCTTAAAGAGTATAAAAGCTACAATTTTCTCTTCCCACTTTTTGCTTGCTTTTCCATTATGAATAACTTTCTGGTTTAATTAACATGTTTTCTTAATCAGACACATATCAGTTGCATTTACTTTTAAATAAACACTAATCTTACTTGTCCACTTTCATGGGATCTCGATCCTTTAACCAGTCTCCAAATTTCTGCCAATGATCATTGGGTGTCCAAGGTACCTTTCCCAGAAAAAAATCTGGGCAGATGGTTCTGTAGAATATTACATTCATAAGTTACTTGAAGGTTTCTGTGACAGATGAATTCCCAAGCTATCTCTTTAGTTCTCTCTTTATTTTTCTGCAGTAGTCTAAGTTATCTAAAATATTTTAAGTGTTATTCGTCTAATTCTATACAAATATCACTGCATTAAAACAATATGTATTTACAACAACATAGAAACAAAAACACACACACATATACAAAACAAGATCTTAAGAAGTTAACAAGCATGAAGATTAGATAGGTAGATATTTATTAAATTTATATACTCCTGACTCCCAGTAACTCTATAAATTGTTTTTTTTAAAACCCCAAATCAAAATATTAAAGCTAACTACTAAAAATAAAGTTAAATAACACATTTCTAATTTTTAACCTATCCAGTGATTTTCTTACTTAGAAGGAATTTCCACTAAATGCAATTAATTTAATGCTTACATCATTATTTCTTAAACCTTTTTCCTCTCAGGACTCTTTCCCACTTTTAAAAATTATAGAGGACTCCAAAAGACTTTTTGTTTCAAGGGGTTATATTGTATTAAAATTTAAAATGGGCATATTCCTTGCCACTACCACTTTTCATGATTGTTTAATGGGATTTTAATATTGTATTATTTTTAATATTGTATTATTTTTCAAGGTAGACTGGCAAATAATTTTGATTTTGTGAACCCATGAAAGGTTTTGGGGGAAACCCAGATTCCTAGGACTACACTTTAAGAACTCTGGTTTATGTAATTATTTATGATTGCAGCTTTAGTGGATATGTTAATAATGATATGCATTAAGCCTTTACATTTGGACATAAAGGAGTTATATTTCCTGGCAAGTGACACCGTCTAGCTGGGAGATTTTGTTAAGCTTCTTGGTCCTATATATGCAGGTGTAATATATAGGCTTGATTCCGCCAAAATTAATTTTGCTTTAGTGGGGAAGCTGTAAACATGAACTAAACATTTTGTTGGAAAAGGAAGCTGAATGGTTTTAAAAATTGGGGTTGTTCTTAGGGCTCTGGTGCACTGTTTGGCTTCTTGTGATTGGGAATGAGAGGATGACAACAGCCTTGGTTTGGATCACAGCTATGAGGCATCTATGCACATTGATCCTGGATGGCTCCTGATTTTCAGAAGAGGTCTGGACAATATCTCGGTGTAAGAGAGTACCACAATAGGAAAATTGTGTGAATGCCCCAAACACAGATTAAGAGTTTTCTTTAAGGATTGCCTAATGGCAATAATGCTGGCAAAGTGTAGCTATTTTTCCACCCTTACTGCATCTGCAAAATACTAAGCTGTGGCCATTTTTAGTATATCCCAGTCCATTGTGGGTAAGGAGAGTCCTAGGGAACATTTACAGGTCTGCTGTGTGGGCTGCGTGGACTGTTCTAGGCATCAGTTATATAAGTCCTTTGGATTTTCTCAGGGATAGAATCTGGCTCTATTGGTTCTACGGATTTACCCGAGGAATGACCTTGCCTGGTTACCTCGGAAGAGTTTTTACCTGTTGACTCTGATGAAGTGGACAGACTCCTTGGAACCATGAATTTGGCCATTTGTATTTTAGATCCACATCCCTGCTAGTTGTTTAAAGTCTTCTAGGAGACGAACTGAGATTAGATTCATGCAAAGATGAATATTTCTTTGCAAGAGGGATAGGTTGGACTACCTTGAAAGAACCAGATATCTTCCCCCTCCTTAAGAAGCCAAAACTCTACATGGCATGGCACCAGACTATTTGTAGAACTGCTTGTCTCGTTAGTCATCTCGTTAGTCCATCCCAACAGTTCTAACAAGGAAAACACACCCTGGGTCCCTTGCATTAAACACTATTATCTTGTTGGACACCCAGGACTCATGCCTTCTCTGTGGCAGTGCCTGCCTTACAGAACAGCTAATAGCCTCAACCCTATTTGCCTTTCCTTGTGCAATGAAGAGCTGGCTGTTAAGCACACTCGGCTGGCTGAGGTTGTTTTATTATCAGTTGAAATTGCTGTTTATGACCTTCAACATTTGTGGTTTGAAGTCTTTACATTTTTAACTTTCCATGCCACCCAGAGACATTGCTGTAAGACTTGCACAGTTTAAATAAATGACTACATGTATGCTTTTCCTTTTTTAAAAGTTGTTGCATTCCTGCAGGGCAGTGTTGATTACATGAGCTAAAGAAGAATATCTCATATCTCTATTTGCTATGAGGCAATTTATTTGTACTTCTAAATTAGGTCTACTATATCTAGACTGACAAATATAAAGGCCATTAGATAGCAGCAAAATAAATGCCTGTGTCTCTTTCCTGCCATCTAAAGGCTGGTCAGACTGTTGTAGCACAGGTATGGTAGTCCTCACCATTTATCACTACCCTGACTATACATTTTTTTCCCATTCTTGAAATAAAAGGAACCCTTGCTTACGTGTATCCATTAGAAGCAATTATATCAGCAACATATCTTGTGTCTGGAAATTGCCACCCAAATATGTCATGAACCAAAATCACAGCTGTGTTTGTATCAGAAGCAGGTTGACAAACATATGCTTTGATGTTCTGAATTTGCACTTCCTGGCCACGCCCTTCATAATTCCTTCTTCTTCCGATATCATATTGGAACGGCAAATCTCCACTGGTCATTTAAAAAAACTGAAAGAGAAACGCAATAATTAAACTTAAACTCCACAAAAGCTATAATAACACCAAGGGCATTCCAGGTGGTAACAGAAAGAAAAGATTAAAATGGAATCTCACTGGCAATTATGTAACTTTTCAGATTTTGTCTCTTTAAAGTTGTCAGGAAGAAAACAACTTCTTTTATCAGGAGGAGGAATCAGCTACTCCCAAAATATCAGTGAGAACCCTACAGAATGTTGCCTCTGACAACTTTACTTATAAGGAGAAGAGTTGGAGTCAGCCAAAAAAAAAAAAAAAGTTAATTAAAATTTAAGTAAAGCAAAAAGATAAACAGTCTGAAAAAAAGAGAGAGCTGGTCCATAGAACTGCTGAGAGACAGACGTGATTAAATGAGTAGCATCAACATTATCTCCTCCTGCAATTAAGAAAAGAAGCCAATGCAACATGAAGTCACAGCCTTGAATCCAACTCTGTTTCCATTTTGTTGTTAAAGATGGGAACTTTCCACTTCCATATTGCTAGACATGGCCCACGTTTGATGGGTAAGGCTTTCATGTTTAGTTTCAAGTTTTGTTATTAATTAAAAATAACAGCCCAAAAATCATCAGATGCAATTTTCCTCTGCATAAAGATTCTGTGCAGAGATCTTTGTTCTAAATGTTTCTGAATGGATCTCATGACACTGAAAATTTTCCTTTCTTGAGTGTTCTATCTTGCCATATTCAGATTATGACTGATTCCTGATAAGAATCAATGGCAAAAAGTTTTATTTTAAAAGGAATTGATAGTGGCATTGGCTGAACCCATGTCCACAATGTAAAGCAGGGGTCCCCAACCTTTTGAACCTCAGGGACCACCAAGTTCATAATTTTAAATTTTGCGACCACTAATACGAATCCAGCATGCCGCTTGCTGAAGCACCTGGACTCCCAGTGACGGGATGGGGTCCTTCAGGCACTCTCCCTCCTCTCTCTCTCTCTCCCCCACTCTTTCTCTCTCATTCTCTCTTTCTCTCTCCCCCCTCCCCCTCTCTCTCATTCTCTCTTTCTCTCTCTCTCCCCCTCTCTTTCTTTTTCCCACTTTTTCTCTCTCATTCTCTTTCTCTCTCCCCCCTCTTTCTCTCTCTCCCCCCACTCTCTCCCTCATTCTCTTTCTCCCTCATTCCCTCTCTCTCTTTCTCTCTCTCCCACTCTTTCTCTCTCATTCTCTCTTTCTCTCTCCCCCCTCTCTCTCTTCCCCCCCTCTCTCATTCTCTCTTTCTCTCCCCCCCTCTTTCTCATTCTCTTTCTCTCTCCCCCTCTTTCTCTCTCTCCCCCACTCTCTCTCTCATTCTCTTTCTCTCTCATTCCCCCTCTCTTTCTCTCTCTCCCACTCTCTCCCTCTCTCTCCCCCACTCTCTCTCTCTCATTCTCTCTTTCTCTCTCACATATTCTCTTTTTCTCTCCACCCCCCCAAATCTCTCTCTCTCATTCTCATTCAAGGGCCGGAAGAAGTGTGGGAGCGAAGCACTACTTGAACTTGTGTGGCATGAGCATTCGCCTTAGTATATTTCCGCCAGCCGATGGTGCAAGGCAGCCCTTGTCTCCTGCCGCTTTGGACTTGGAGCGCTAAATGGTGACTGGTCCGTAGACCACCAAAATTTTCTCACGGACCAACAGTCCGTGGTGTGACCGGTTGGTAAAGCATTATAAAAATAATTCAATGTGTTTTCTAGACATAAATCTATGCTCTGTATACTCAACACAAGCAACAGACCCTCTATTGCAGACTTTCAAAAGTTCAGAAGAGTTTTTGTTTGTTTCTTTCCTAAAAACTTACTTATTTTTTTTAATGTTCCATAATGCTGCTCAACAAGACTATTTACAAGAAGAAGATTCAAAACAGAAAAAAGGATGTTCAAACTACAAAGTTTGAAAATAAAAATTCTTGGAATGCTAATCCATTCTATGAGCAAAATAGATGCTAAGCTAAGCAGGAAAACTGTTACTTTTGATCCAATAATAAAATCAAATTTTGCAAAAAAAAAAAAAAATCCTGAGGAAATGGGGTGGCTAAGATGTAGAGGTTGAAGGTCATGATGTCGAGCCAAATGCAGCAAACTACTTCTGCTTCTGGTGTTATGTATCTTTTTCCTGTATGATCTCATTCTGGCTCTGGTCTGTATTATTTCACCCTCCTTCTGAGTGAGGGAGCAGGGAGGAGTATCTGCCAATCAGAGCCCTGTTGTTGGCTGGCCTTTCTTTTGCTTGTGAAAAACTGTATAAAAAATAAAAGTCTCTGCGAAAGCAGAGAGAGATATCTTGGACAGAGCAAAAGCCTGGACCCTGATTTCTACACTAAGGGCTTTTAAATATCTATTGGTGGTGCTTCAGATTAAGAGAATAAGTAGTTGTGGCGATAGCCATAATAATTATCACTGATAGCATTAATGAAGCAAAAATCTATTCAGCATCAAAGAAGATGCCAAATAATCTTCAAGGCAAGTTATAATTAAACATCAGTATGTCAAAAGATCCTCTATGTTAGCATTTTTGTGTAAATAGCCAGAGGGAAAGGTGTATCAAATCACCATCATTCAGAAAATACTGGAGACTGGAAGATGAACATGTTCTTTAGATTCAATGCATTATTTGTCCTGGATAGCTCAGCAGACTAATGCATTGTAATTTAACTCCAGCTGTCTGCAATTAGTAAGTTCGAATCTTGCCAGCTCAAGGTTGACTCAGCCTTCCATCCTTTCTAAGGTGGGTAAATTGAGGACCCAGTTTGTGGGGGCAATAAGCTGACTTTGTAAAAATATACAAAAGTATGAAGGCTATTGCTTAACGCATTGTAAGCTGCCCTGAGTCTCCGGAGAAGGGCGGCATATAAATCAAATTATTTAATTTAATTTAATTAACAGGCCTGATTAAAGAGAGTTTATTGAAGGAGATGCACACAATCTACATATTCAACACTAGATTGCTGAAAGGACATTTTGCAGGTGTGAAATGTTCCCGGTTCGGACCAGATCGCGGATTGGAGAACCGGTAGCAAAAATCCCTGCCCACCCCTTCACCCAGCTGAGCCACGCAGTCATCAGAGGCTTTTTTTTAATTTTTAAAAGCATTTTTTTTACAACCTCTTCAGCCGAAGGGGTTATAGAAAAAATGTTTTTAAAAGGAAAAAAAGCCTCTGCTGATCAGGCAAGACAGCTGGGATGTCAGAGGCTTTAAAAAAAAAAGAAAGCCTCTGCCAATCAGGCAACTCAGCTGGGATTGTCAGAGGCTTTTAAAAGCATTTTTTTTACAACCTCTTCAGCTGAAGAGGTTGTAGAAAAAATGGTTTTAAAAGTAAAAAAAAAAAAGTTGGCCACGCCCACTCAGTCATATTACACCCTCCCACCAAGCCACGCCCACAGAACCGGTAGTAACAAATTTTACATTTCACCACTGATATTTTGAAGAGTACAAACTGCTAACGTGAAGATGGAGTGATGCTGAAGACAAATAGCTAGAGGCACGCTTTGTTTAATGTTTGTGTAAACATTCACTGGTTACACATATTTCATTTTTTATTGTAAATGGCTTCCCTTTAGTTTAAAGAAATAAATACTTTAATTGAGTAAATGAAAAGGCAGAGCTTGATTAACTAAATTACATAGATGAGCTGTGAGATCTTATCCACCCTCCTTTGATTTTAGTGTACTTTCATCTCAACTGCAAATTCCTGTACTTCCACCTGCCTGATGGTGAGAAATTCTTATTTCTCAAAATTGCTTTCAGAAAATATTTACTCAGCAGACACACTATTAAAGGAATTGATATCCAAATGTTTGTAATTTAAAAGCACAACAAATCAAGTTATAGCCTTTTTAAAGACATTCTGAGAAAAAGCTATTCAATTAAATGAATTATTTTGTTAAAAAAAATCTTACTGCCATAAACTGTGGCCTCCATGCCAACCAATTAGCATACTCAACCATGCAATCCCCATCCCCATGAGTGTAATATGGTTCACTGTCAGGAGACTGGACATAAAGAATCAAAAGACCGAATATGAGTCCCTTGACAGCTTATTCATAAACTTCACCCAGATATCAAGAAACCTGGGAAGAAGCATTTCAGTTTATTCAGAGACCCTGTCTTAAAGGGTCATTGCAAATGAGAATGGATGGAAGATTTCTTTTACAATTTCCAGGACTAATGTCACAATAGGTAAGATCAAAATAATCAAGAGCTACACAGGATCCAGTAAGGTACCAATAGTGCCAGTCTGGGCTAAATACAAAATTTTGGAGTATTCTAGCATATTCAGATCAACACTTCCTGAAGAAGAATGGACTGAATCTGTGACAAACCACTCAATTTTGCAATTCTCTACTTAAAGCTAATTATCTCATAACACCTTAGAAATAGCAAGTACTTACCTTATCAGAGTAAAATTGTTAGTGCAACCATGCACAAGTTCATCTTCTAGCATTTATTCATTCTTAGTTTATATTCTGACTAATTTGTTTTCTTTTCAATAGGTATTTAGTAATGTATTTATTCCTAGCAAAATAAAGTGAGCAATTTTGTGCCATCCTGTTTAGCCCAAGGATCTTACATATTAATTATTCATTTCCACTTTAAATTTGCCCAACATGTAGGTAGAATTGGAAGCATACTGAAGGGAAACAATAATAAGGATATAATAAATAATATTAGAATATGATATACTGGTATACTAGATTCTGTAACCATTAGGTTCCTGTAATACATATATGCCTTTGTATTTTTATCACATATATTATGCCTTTATATTTGTATCTCCTGTAACAAACATATTCTGTTATTAGCCTCTGTAATGTATCTGGTATTTGTCAAACAGATGTTCCTGCCATTTGATCTGAACCCATATCAATCTTCTTCCTGATTTTCTTTTGCCATCTAAGTGCATGGTACGTATTTCAGTTGGAATTGCAGACACCATCTGAGGGATAATTTACACTTCAGTTCTAATTTACATCTTTGATCTGTATAAGCTCCTTCCTTGCAGAACCAGGGGGCCAAATGAGCAATTGGGAGAACAAAGGAATGCTCAAGGAAAAGATAATGCTAATTGGGAGGCTTCTATTCCTTTGCAGAGCAACAATGAATACTCAAACCTAAACTAGGAGGCCAGAATTGGGTACTCAGATGATGTCTCTGAGGGTATAAAAGGACGCCATACCTTCCCCAAGGTGTGGCTATCTCCTCGCATGCATTGTATCTGTATGTTCTGGATATAGTCCCACCCAGAATTTTGTTTTTGGCCATAAATAAAATCTGGTTTTTTTTGCAACCCTCGTCTTGAGTCTCTCTCTTTGGCATTCTGGTGACTCAAGTATATTTTGGGACCTTACAATACTTTCTGTCAGCGTTCCAGAACCCCCCCCCCCAACTCCAAGTAAAAACTCTGAAGCAAGCATTTCTCCTGCTTCTAACCATACAACTGTCCATCATTATTTTTTACAGTGTCTGTTAGTAGTATTATGAAAATCAACAACGCTTGTTCCCTTCTATATTTCAATAGTACAGAGCAGGAATGGCGAGTTTCTGTTGTCGCTGTTGCTATTATTTTACTTTTATTTCTTTTTTCCATTATAAATCCATGTTTATTTATTTAGAACATTTGTGGGAATATTTACATTATTGTTGGCATTGCTATATTCTTAGGAAAAAGCATTAATTCACAAGCGATGATTGAAAGGGATTACATGCTGGAACAGAGGTTTAATTTAAACCAGTGCAGACAATTTATCTAGGAAAAAAGATCAGCTATAGATTGGGATTGCCACATCCAGGCCTCAAGTCTTTCTACAAGCTTACTTGATCTCACAGATAAGCTTGGCTTTATAAGAACTGGGTAGATCCAAACAAATGAACTGATTATTCCATTCATATTATGCTACCAATGACAGATATTTTTCTCCAATCCCCTAATTTTCCAAAAATGAAGTTTGGCAAATCAGCACTTTCCCAAATAACAGGTTTAGGTGCTGATGACCAGGAGAAAATGTTGAAAAGAGGGCTTTTGCCAGTTAGGATCATATATAGGGAAAAGTTTTTCCCTATTATATTCTTAGGAATGTAATCACCCCTAACTAGACTTAAAAACTTTTCCCCACCTTATGTCTTATTTTTGCAATGCAAAACTGGACTTTACTCTTTAGACTAGAGCTAAGTTTCATTGATTCACTAGTACCTATTCCTAGTTACAGTACATCTTCAAGCTGTCGAAATATTACTTCTGAACTTTTGCAAGCAAACAACCATGTACAGAGACTGCCAAGAACTGAGTTTCTATTAGATATTAAAAATAATCTGCATATTAAACATGCCATTGCCATTGCAGCATTAGCAATTTTAATAATGCTTCCCTTATTGCTTGTAAAATAATTGTCTTACTACCAGGGCAGTATGAAACATCAGCCATGACTTCAATCCATTCTTAAGAGGTCCGTAAAGGGGGTGTGCATAAGCACACCAGCGTGCCTACCGTCCCTGTCTTACTGTCCCCATTTATTTGTATTTACTTCCTTTGTTTATGTTTATGTTCATACCTATACTTGTTATCTTGTACATGTTTGACAAACAAATAAAATAAATAAATAAATAAATCTTCTCCAGTCCTATACTGGTAGTACTATCATTTTTCTACCTCAAGAAAAGGTGAGCAGATGTTTTTATTCCATCTGTACATACCTGAATTGGGAAGCTTGTAATTGGAAACCAGGACAAACTCCTTTTGAAAGAACCTAGGTGTTTCTGTCCTCCGCTGAAGGGAAAAACAGCAACTGCAGCTTTCTGTCTGCGTATCTACTCACCAGCTATACCACTCTGAATTTCAGATGTGCTAAGAGATATGTAGTTGTGGGAAGAAGGAGGCTCCTTGAGAATTAAATGTTTGATTGAGGAAGACAGGAAAGAAGCAGAGGCATGAATCATAGAGGCAAGCTTCTCTTGTTCCTCAAGTATTTTAATGGGGAGGGATAACTTTGAGAGCAGAAGTTATCAAGAGGAACACTCCGATAATATTTTTTACTTCCCCATTTCCTTTTCAGCATCTGTGTAAACAAGAAAAAAGTCCTGTGACATGATCTGTGTCTATCCTTCTTTGCTGACCTATAGAAATTGAGCAAAAGCATGGAGTAGGGAACTCTGGAGCAATTCAAATCTGAGCTCTATTGAAGAGACATACCATCCTTTGTCCTTCAATTTAGTCAATATTGGACAATAGGAAGGTGCCACATGTATTGGTTGGGCTCACATAAATAGCCAATATAGTCTGCTTAGTTTAGGCTTAGAAAGTTGTGCAAACTCCATCATTAGGGTTTATGCCTCACAATTAATGTTTGAGCATGTTGCAAAAGGTGTTTTTCTCCAGGACCACTACAGTTGTGTTCAATAAATCATGATTAAACAAACTGAAATTAGCATCTTGTGCAAATATAGTTTAACCAAGATGGCAGTCCTTGGAAGCTCAGTATTATCAATCAGCTTTCAATGTTGTCAGTCTCTCAATCAGCCTTATAACTCAACTGCTTGACCCTGGAAGTCAGGATCAGTCTATATTTTGCCATAATTCTGGATATTCCCCTAAAGAAACAAGAAAGAAAAATTGAGAAAGAAGGTCTATAGTGAAGGATTAGGGTAAGTTAGCATAAAATCAATGATCAGTTTTTACTCAATTAACTGGACAATTTAGCAAATCATATTTTTATTGTTTCAAGGGAATTTTTCAAGATGTTGAAGAGATTGGAGCCAGAGTTGCTTTTTGTCTTAAACATTATAGTTAACAAATTATTCATGTGATGAATGTGTGTGGTTTCATTTATCCATTTATATGCCTCATTTCATTCTTTTCTATGATGGGCGGCATTTTAATAAGGCATCATTCAGTGTGTCCTCCATATTAGCCACTTTATAAATTGGAAAGAGAACTGCATGAAAGGAATTTGGCAAGCAACTGACCTGCTCTTGCCTCAGCTCTACAGAGATAAAGTTAAAGAAGTGATATTCTAGTCACTGTATGTCTAATTATAAGAGTCAAGTGCACAATCAACCACTCTTCTATTGTGTGGTCACCTAAGCAGATGAATTAATTTATCTTATTAATATTAGAGTGTCCTAGGGGTCCAGGACACATGTGCTATCAGGAGACCTCTTTACCCCTCCAGCAGATCCTGGGAGAGTAGATTCTTAAGGCCTGGGGTGCTATGAGATTACGTGCTGTATGGACCCCTCTCTAAGTGGGTAAGCACTAAGTGTGTCCAGTTGAATAAGCTCCGTCATTTAATTGAAATGAAGTAGGCATAGGGAGATCTCAGATAAGGAAAGAAACTCCAGGCCAGAATTTGACTCATTAGTGAAGGAAATCATAGCCTTCTTGGGTTGGAGAAATGCCTGTATAACATGTTCTTGCAATTATAATTTCAGGAATGTGTAGGAATGTTTGTCTCTTGTGTTAAGGTATTTCTTCCATACTAATGCTTCTATTCTGAGATTCATCTCAAGAGATGAGAAATGATCACTTTAATTTATATTTTATTATTTGTGTCGTATTTTTATTAACCATATATATGATATAAATATAAGTCTAAATATAATTTAACTAGCATTGACCCATTAAAGAAAACTACATTTCCCTCCAAGTATTCCCTCCCTCCATTTTTCATCTCTCTCACTTTTATTTATATTTAACATACAATAGTCACTAGATGGCAGCTGTGAGTTCTACTAAAGTACTTAACTGACATCTCAGAGAAAAATGTATTGATTATTGGTTGCATTACAAGCAGTTGTTTTTTGCTTAAGCAACATGTTTAACACTGTTTAATAGCGTGTTGACTGGGGTATCCTGGGAGTTGAAATCCATGCAGTTTAAAGGTTGAGAAACACTGGTCTATGATTTAGATAAAGATCTTCATGGTCCCTTACATTATGAACTCCTAATCAAAGATATCAATTTCATATTTTCCAGATCATATTTTCTTTGATTTTAAATTGTTTCGTATTTTATTTTTAAATTTTATTGGGAAATTTTGATTACAAGAGTATAAACAAATACAGACTAAACTTAGAAAAAGACCTAGAACAAAGAATAAAAGTTGCTTTTATTAATAATACTTCCGGTCTGGAACTGCGGCGATACAGTCGGGGGAATGGAGGGCTCTAACGAGCCCGCAAAAACCCCAACTGACGATCCATCCTCCAATCGGTCTTGGACCAACCCCATCCTGTAGGGATGGGGGGAGAAGAGGAGCATCTCGCTGGACCAAGAGGAACAGGCAAGTTCCTCGGAGGCCAGAGGAAATCCTCTAAGTTGGAGATGGGGGGAGGCAGCCATGGCGGCTGTCGCAAAGCCGCGGCGGACCAGGAAAAAGATTGTGCTGGAGAGAAGAAGAGAGAGCAATACCTTGAAGCCGGGTGAGTGACACCAACCCAGGCAAAGCAACAGAATTAAATGGATTGAAAAATAAGACCCGAAGCCTTAAATAGCGGCTGTAGATTTATGGGGCTTGAAGATTAAGGGAAAAAAAAAACTTTTGGAGACAAAGACCCATGACAGACTTTGAAATTCGATTTGGAATAATTGGCACTTAATAATTTTAAAATTGGATTCTATCTTTTTTTACTTATTTGGAGTTGATTGGAGAAATGTTTTTCTGGGAATTTACACCTTTAGAAAGTTAACGAGGCTAATGAAGAGTGACATACTGGTGGCTACATAATTGCCATGGAGTCTGCGGTGACTAAACAGGAGAGTGGATTAAAGAGATTTCCCTTTCGTTTGGAAAAGAAACATTGTAAATGGCTTTATACCTTGGACTATTTTGAAATTAACATTAAATTTATGGATTTTGGAGACTCCTACTCTGTTCCTGGGTGATTATATGAAGAAAGAAAAAATATTTTGGATTTTTCACAATGGAATTTAACAAGCCTAGCAAAAAAACTGGGTGCGGCATAGGAACAAAGACAGGAAGTTGATGCATCACACATGGACTAGACATTCCAAAAGCATTAAAGTGATACACACAATTTTTAAATTGAGCAGATAGACTTTTGAAGTGGAACAGCTGGACAGAAAGGAGAAGGAAGGAAAAAGAAGATAAAATCAAATGTAATTAAATTGAAATGTAATGTTTAAAAGCTTAAAGGTATAAATGATTTTTAGATAAAAACTGGAGGGGTTTTGGAGTAATAAAAATAGAAAATAAAAGATGGTAATCAAAATAGAGGATTGAGATAAAGGTGGCTAAAAATATTAAAGAAGAGTATATACAAATACGGGATAACTTTAAGAAAAAATAAATGTTTGATGTAATATGCTTTGACTTTAACTTCTAAGCAATGTTAGATTGGTAAATGTTTAATTATGGTTCTATTGATTGAAACAAGAAGATACACAGACCTTAGTAACAAAGTGTGGTTTAATCTAAAATATGCTGGAAATGATTATTATGAAACATATTGAGAACTAATTTGAAAAAGTATGTTGGGAAACTGACATGAAATAGATAATTATATTGTAAGGGAAAATTAAAAGAAGAGGTGATGGGCACCAACTAGTTAAGATTTTGAGACTCGGGAGAAATACGTTGGAAACTAGTTAAAATGCTGGAAATCAGCTAAACAATGGTAGGAGAGTTGGAGGAGAATAGGCTGGAAATCAGCCAAATAATGGTGGGAATTTTGGAGAAGACTGTGCTGGAAATCAGCCAAATATAATATGCTGGAAATCAGCCAACATAAAATGCTGGAAATCAGCCAAGCAACAGGAGGAGAGTTGGAGGAGATATGCTGGAAATCAGCCAACATAAAATGCTGGAAATCAGCCAAATAATAGAAGGAGGTATGGAGGAGAACATGCTAGCAATTAGTTTAAATAAAATTTTAGGGATGAATCTGTGTAATTTGAAATGTGTAAAAGTAATGATAAAATTTAAGATATCAAGATTTGATGGAATGGGTCAAGAGTCTAAGAAATGTAGTTAGAATTTTGTTGTATAAATGGTAAGAAAAATGGAGATGTATTGAATCTGAAATTAAGATTTGAGGTGATAAAATTGTGGTTAATAATTAAAATAAGAGATTAGAATATTGTTAAAAAGTATTTTGCAACTGATGGTAAAAAAGATGATAAAGACAATGTGGAGAAGAACCAGATATAAGCAGGATTGATACTTAGACACAAATGAGCTAAAGTAAATATGAAATTAAAATTGTATTGATATAATAGATTTATATAGATAAGGATGTTAGAATCTATGTTAAAATGTATTCTTCTTATGTTTTGAACTTTTACCTGTTAAAGATGCAATGGGAAATTGTGAATGGAGTCTGTCAAAGAAATGTAAGCGTGGTAACCATCTATGACCGGATCGAGTTTTTGCTCTTGAAAGTTATATTTTATGCTTATATTTGAAAAATAATAAAAAATATTTACAAAAAAAAAAAGAATAAAAGTTGCAAGAAAAGAAAAAAGAAAAATGAGGGAAACAGAAACATCTAGGGAAGGGGCTTCCAATCTTCATCACAGCAGTTACGTTGCGTCCAACCAATACATGTGGCACCAAAAGCTATCAGTGTTCCCATTGTCCTATATTAAGTAGACTAAATTGAGGGGCAAAGGATGGTGTGTCTCTTCAACAGAGCCCAGATTTGAATTGATCCAGACTTCCACACTCTGTGCTTTTGCCCAACTTCAATAGGTCAGCAAAAAAGGTGAAAAATAAAACCAACTGGAAGAGGTCCAGATAGTCAGAGGAATCAAATTATAACCCATATGGGATGTTATTTTTTTAAAACTATTGTTTGTTCTATTTTGAATGAGTTTTTTTTTAATGGAAAATTATTACCTAGAATTATAAATATGAAGC